CAGAAAATCTTTTTCAAAGAGCTGAGAGGTTGCTCTATGAATGATGCTGTCCATACCTGAGTACTGATATCTCCATGCATAACTTTGTACCAAAAGATAAGCTAGCTTTGTAATTTGTGATTGTGAAAGATGTCTCAGACACTTAATGAATTTTATAGGAAAAATTGTTCATTTTGGCTAAACCTGCCAACCTATCTTATCAAATGCATCACTTCAGTGATGCATTAGTCCTGTGGAAGGTACTGCCTCTTTGTATCATGCAATTGCGTTTTTTTAGCACAGAGTTCTTTGTATGTCACACCACTAATGTACTTACTGCCAGCTTTGTGTGCATGTGAAGTTGAAAGTGGGTTTTTCCTCTTTTCTCCTGCATGAGCATTGCTGTTAAAGCATTTTTTCTTCATGTAAATGTTGAAACATTGAAAATGTGATGAATGTAAAACTGTTTAGTAATATTCTCTTTTATGGTATAAAAAGAAATCCTGTTGTAGTGTTTTTGTCAGTTGATAAGAACATGTTTCATGAAGGATGACAGTCCATTCTTTTACTCATTTTCAGAAGGAGAATTTGATGTACATAGCAAAGTGATCTTGTTTTTCTCCTGTATGCCAACTAAGTGCTGATAGAGTCCATGCCTTAGTTCATGTCCATTAGGCTACATTGTGAAGAATTTGTGGGGAAATGACCAAGGAAAGAACTGAAGAAGTCATAACACGCTTATTTACATAGGGTGACTTATAAATTGTATTTAAAAGATGGGTTTCCTGTAGACTCTCCTGTAATACTTATTTTAAGAAAAGCCTGAAGAGAATAAATTGAACACGCTGTTGTTCACAGAAGTTGAACTGTAGGTGTGACTTGGAAAAGAAAGGTTTCTGTGAGATGACTTAACTTCCTGGTTAAATTGTGTTTGAACAAGGCTGTTGGTAGGTTTTCTATTTGAGATGGAATTGAAACATTGACATAACCATGGTTGTTGCAGCTATGGTTAGTATGGTTGGTGAGTAGAAACTCTGTAAAGTCTGGACAGATGTCATTGTAGGAAACTTGAGTGGGAGGTTATACCTTTTTTATTTAGAAACATTTTGTTATGATTAAGACCTTCTGTCACACTTTGGAGTGTGCAATGTGATTGTGATTCCAGATGTTAATCAACAAGTAATTTCAGTAGTGAATTCTAGCTCTTACAAAGACAGTTCCTGTTTTGTACTTGGCCTTTTTAGTATAAACAAGCTTCAGAACAAAACTGAACAAATGAAAGTGAGTAGCCAGGATCCATTTTGGTGATATATTACTTTTCCAGACCTCATGCTTTTATATTTCAAAATAAACACTCTTTGCTGCTTGTGGTATTTTGAGGGAATTTTTTCTTAATTCTTAAGTGTCACGTTATAGCAGCAGGTCTAGTTGTTGTCTGGGAAGAGCAAGGATATTTGTGTGTGTGAAAGATACAGTAAAATTTTAAACCATAAATTACTGCTACTCTATCTGAGCATTTGAAGGAAGCTACAACTGAGTGAATTGTAACACTGAAAGTGAGGATATGTTTGTGTTTGGGTGAGGGTACTGAACACAGACCAAAGAAAGAAAAATAGAGATAAGGCTGGGAAGAGAGAGCAGAGCTTACGACAAAACCAACAGGGAGCCACCAAATAAGTAACTGGCTACACAGGATCTGTGAGGCCTTGAGCAGACTTTAAGATCCAGTCTTTACCCTCAGTTTCTCACAAACCACTATGTATCTTGACCAGTTGTAGTTGAAATTACTATACATTTTACAATTGTAATGTGACTATAAAGATCTGAATCTGGGGACCCTTGGGTTAGAACAAGGAACAAATAGTTCAGATAAGTTAGTTCTAATGAGAAAAGTGTTGAATAAAATTTGGAGAAAGATTGGAGAAAGCTTTTTAGTACACAGGATCTTTAAATGATCTTTAAATGATTTTTAGTTGTCTGCAAAATGAAAGCTTACTAATTATGTTTTAACAGAAAGAGCCAGAAATGAGTCATGATGACAGCTAATTGCGGCAATAAATACTAAAGAAGCATTTAGGGGTTTATGGGTTAGAGCTATCAGCATGAGTGCAATGTATCTGAAAGACGTCTGACTGGGCAATGTCAAAAAACTACTGTTATTTTAAAAAAAAAAAAAAAAGGTAATAGCAAAGATGTAAAAGTGTGATAAAGGATACAGTGGCTGTGCTGATTAGATATGCAAGTCTGTACTAGAGGTCATTCCCCCTCCTTTTGGAAACTGTATAGCCCTGTGCTTGATATCTGTCTTAATAGCCACCGCAAGGAGGGTTTTTAAAGAAACAAAACCAAAACAAAAAAGCCCAACTGTCGATACTCTTGTGCTGTTTCGCACATCCTTAAGTTCTCTACATTTTAAATAAGACTGAAGCATGAAGGATTTCAAAGGCTGGGATTTCCAAACAGCCCTGCAGAAGATTGCACCAAGTTTCTTTATATGCTGCTTAACATTGATCTTCAAACTTAAACCCCAAGAATCTTCTTATTTGGGATGTTGTTTAGAGATAGCTTAAATTTTGGCTTATTATATAATTATATAATAATCTGCAGTCTGAGTTTCTAAAGCAGTTAAGTTACTTCGTTCACATTGAATTTTATATTGTTAATATTCATGATTAATTAAGAATACGTTTTTATATCAGCTGTATTAATTTAGTGAAAGATAGGAGGTAACTATTTTCTAGTAGTTTCATTGAAGTAAGAACACTTGAAGACTATGACTTTGTATATAGAACTAATTGCTTCAGAGAACTAATTGCTGCAATATGTTAAGGGATACCTTTTTCCTAAACAGGAAATATAAGCAATTTGAATAATTGCTTATACTGAATAATTTGAATATATTATTGAATAATAACACTTTGAAAAAAAATTTCTAGAAAGATTTTTTTTGTTTAGGTTTTTTCTTTTTTCTGCAACTCAGAATAAAGTCCAGGATAGGAGTTAATTACCATAGGAAGCTCTCGGTATCCATTCCGTTTTAACTTTAATATAGGTGGCACTGCAACTCATAAGAATTTTATCACAATATAGTTCTTTTTTATATGGAAATTGATGTACAAAAGGTTTTAATAACATATTACCATATGTGCTTTATGGTTAAGTACTAGAGGCTTAAAATCTAGCAGCACACTTTCTATATAAGATTACTTGTGGCCTTGCTAGCAGCCAGAGTCCTTGCTTTAAATAATAGAAAATATAGGCCCTTTTTAATACTACATTAAATACTTGCTTTTCAGAAGGAAGGGATTAGATGATATCCTTTGTGTCAGTGAATCGCACCTTTTCTTTACAAATTCTTCTGGAGAGATGAGGAGGCTCTTTGACTATTAGTCCCTGGAAGGCTAACAAGTGACAGGCTGCAGTGCATTTACAGAAATGGATGTCAGACAAGAAGAGGATTACCGGTGACTAGTACTTATTTATGGTACCTTTGCTGGTATTTTTCTTGGAATACGCTCCACATGCTTCTTGCTTAGCCTTCCCTTTTGTATTTCTTCAGAAGTTAAGAACATTGAAGACACACAAAGACTTTAGTGAATGTTCAACTCTGCAGGCTGGAGTTTGAGTTGTTTCATCAGCCAGTAAAGGAAAGCAAACTCCACGGCCAAATACTGTTTCAGATCTTCAGGGCAATTCCTTATTCATAATGACATATGAAATGCTAATTATGTCCTGTGCTGCTTTTCCCTTGTTTCTGTCAGTTAAGGGAAACATGATGCACACTTTCAGACAAACTTCCTCTTTCCACTGATCTGTGTACTAAGAATTTCTTCTGCTTTTCTGGTTTGCTGATTTATCTTGTCACACTTAAGAATGTATGTTTTATGTGGCAAATTCCTTCTTGTTAAAATTCTTAAAAAACCTGTGATATTAAGAGCAAAGGTTTCATTTATTTCTTAACTGCTAGTGATGGGGATGAGCTTGTGGGGTGCAGTTCAATCTGTACAGGATTCAATACTGTCTTTTGGGGTACCTGCCATTGTTGACCATTACAGATATGCTGATAGAAGACTTCTCATTTGATCCAATATGGAATATTTCACTTCCATTATTTATTAATCAGCCCTAGTCAGTCTGAGATTTTGTAATTTCTAATTATAAAACAACTAGAGATACGTTGAAGCTTAGATGACAGGAAGGAGTGTAGCTTAAAATATTCATGGTCTTGATTTAAAAAAAAAAAAAAAAAAAGACTAAATAAGCTGTCAGTAATTGGCTATCCAAAGTACAGTTGCCATTAGATATTCTCTAGTCATAGAAGCCTTTTTATTTCCAGTTTTTTGAAAAGGGTAGTATTTGCCAATAAGATTATAATCTTACTTGTACATGCTTCATTTTATGAGAATTATTCTTTACATAGTGTACTTTGGGAATGTTCTTTATGCAAGGGACTTTTTTGCCACAAGGCATTTCAACTCAGCGTTCTTGATTAGCTAAGGTTTACATTCAGTGCAGTTTAATTGTGTATTTGTGATGGGGTATGTTGTGATTATCTTGCATATTTTAGTTCTCTTTTTTTGTACTGTTACTAGTCTTAAAATAGTCCTCTAATTGCACTCTATGGAAAGACATAGCAATTACTAATATCAAAGTGCATGCAGCAACCTGAAGATTACAGTGTACAATACCATCACAAACCTTTTTTCAGATCGTACATTGCCAGAAAAGAGGTGTCGAGTTTAATAGAGAGTATTCATAGTAGCAACCTGAAAATGTGTCAGGTGTAGTTACCAATGTTCAGTGTGGTTTTTATATAGTCTTTCAGACCAGTATAAAAGCTTTCATAACAAGGAAAATTAACCTGACATTTCAAAAAACTTCTCCAAAACGGTACATGTAAATTAAATCTTGAGGAGTTTGTGGTAAAACCTCTTATGAAAAGGGTTACAATTAAATGTTTTATGCAACATGTATGGCCTTCATTCTTTCTATGATGGTAATTTTTTTTATTACTTCTACAGGTTCAGTCCATGCCACATCAATAGCAGCTTCCAGAGTGGAGCAAGCACTGTCTGAGGTTGCTTCATCTCTGCAAAGCAGTGCCCCTAAACAAGGTCCCCTGCATCCTTGGATGACTCTGGCTCAAATATGGCTTCATGCAGGTACTGTGAAAGTAAAATTCTTTCTTGTTCTTTCCTCTCCCCTTTCTTGCTAGCCTAAGGACTTGCAAAAATCTGTTGGTTTCATTCAGAATCTGTTATCGCTTATCAGATCAAACTTCTTCCAGGTGTGTGTGTGGCACTGAAGCAAGTCAAGAAATAAAAAGCACATTAGAGTTGCTCGTGTGTAAGATCATTTATGTAAGATAAGGCACTGGTTTTATAATGCAGCTGTTATCAGTGGAGTCATATCTTCTGTAGAACAAAGGCAACACTCTCTCCCTTATCCGTGAAGAATTTAGTTTCTGAACTACCTTGAGTATCTTAGTATTTGGAAATTTAGATGGTTGGAAAAAGATGTTTGTGGGGTTATTGAATAGAGTTCCTGCAACTAGAAAAGCTTTATCATGGAAAATAAATAACTCTGCATATGTAGAAAAAAAGGGTAGTAGTACTATTGAGCAACCTGTCCCTTGCAGCTATGATAATGAGTTCTTATTCAGTTCTCTTCCTTTTAGCTTCATTAATGTAAAATATCCAGGATTGTTTTTCTAGTCATCATGAGCGGATTTAGTATTGTTATGCTGCTTCAAGCCTCAAGCTAAATGCAATATCACAAGTGACTTACATAAAATTTCAACCAGAAAATGATGATCTAGTGTATTTTTACATAGTTAAAAATGTATACCATGCAATTGTTTTTACTGATATTTGCATCAGAAAGGTGTAATTTAGAAATCAGTCAGCAATTGTTCTGCTTTGGTCTGCTTTCAGACTTGAGCATTTTTCAGTGACATAATTATTTTTTTTCTTCATGTTTACATTCAAGAAAACAGTGCTGTATTTCTTAGCATTTTAATTTACCTATTTTGCATTAACAGTTTCATTGTGTGAAAGTCGTTACAGGGCAATGGCTCACAGTTATTAATTAGTGTTTTGGAGAAAAAGCCCAGAAGATTGGAAAGAAAGAGCAATGATAGTGATCTCATTTGAGGGTGGAAGGGCTCCTCAAAAGCAACACAGATTAGAACAAGGCAAGGCCCAGCAGGGCATTGTAATCACTTGCCCTGCATCGTGGCATCATTGATTTTAAATATTTATAAACCATCACAGACGGCCATCTACAGTAACTCTTAGCATCTATAATGCTGATGATTTCTCAACCTTCTGTGACAGCTTGTTCCACTGCTTATTTTCTGTTTTTCAATTTGTGTTGGTCATGTCCTGTTGCTGCTTATCTGGTCCATGCAAATGACTGCCACTGTTTTGCCCACAAAGGAGAGGTCTGGACACTCTTTGGTGATTCCTTTTTAGTTCACAATTTAGTCAGGTTTGTATGCATGTTGGTGGTCTGCTGCTGCAACCTGCTGCACAGTCCACTTTCCACTCTTAAAAATATCTATCTCAGCAAGCGTGGTCTGTAGGCCATATTCTTGATTCCCAGCAGGAGGAAGCATGGGTGGGAAGTAGGAGAGAGTTGGATTAGAGAGTGAACTAAAGTGTTAAAGATCCAGGGGAAGGACACAACAAAATATGAAGACTGCTCTGACTCTTTGTGTATGGGGAGCAATGAAAGAAAAAAACAAGAGATGAAAGAGAGCTTCTGTCTGCCTTCAGAGAAGATACTGCAACCTGAAGTCTACTTCCTCTCTACTTTGGAATGATCCTGTTCTTGATACTTCAGGCTGGTGATTTGTGCTCATTTCAGAGTGTGTAGGTATCCTGCTATTCAGCTACTTGTCCTGCTTATAATGCCTTGAGCCTTGAGAAAGGCTCTTTACTGTAGGAACATTCAGAATAAAGTTTTCTCCCAGAAGCACAATACAAAGCAGATATTCTGGAAGGTATCTTCATCAGTATATATGGGTACTTGCATAGAAAACAGCGATAAAATTACTTAACGCCTTACTTACAGCACATGTTATTTAAACAAAAGTGAAGATTTACCGTTGGGAAATTGCTTCCTTTTTGAGACTCATGCCACATTTAACTGTTTGACTCCCTGTGTGGTTGTGTGGTGTTTTACTTCTTAGTGGTAGTGGTGGTGGGGAAATCTTTAACAAGCTTTAAGTCTTAAAAATTATTCTTCCTGTTAGATTAGAGACATGGAAAAGTTACGTAAATAAGTTCTAAGACATGCAAAACTTAGTGGAATGTATTTATCCAAACTAATATATATATGATGTGAAAAGGAGAGAAAATGCTGCTTCTTATGGATATACAGTGTCATTCCAGCTGTCATTAGTGTAAATGAGCGTGGCAGTCAGTCCAAAGAACTTGATTTTGCACACAGTAACTGGCTTTTAATTTTTCATCTTGTGTTTATTAATGGACTGTTTCAGCCTTTCATTTCTGGGCATACAGTGTAAAGGTGGAAAATCAGGCTCATTTTAACTGTGAAACAAAATTACTTTTGCAATTAGTACATTCTGCAGTAACTCACTTAAAAACCTGACCTGTCCCTAAATGATGGCTGTGATGGTCCTTTGAGAAATGCATCAGGACTGAACTCAATATTTCTATGCAGCTTGATTGGAAAATAGGTTGATTTCTCAATAAAATGCAAGTGTAAGTGTTGGAAGGGTTTGAGCCAGAAGGCTCTTGGTGTTCTCTAGGTGGAGACATTGAGAAGAGCACATCAGACTTGGCACCTGATTTCTCTTCAAACTGCTGCTCCTCTCTGAGATTTTCCTACAAAGTCTGCTGGCACTTGTCAGTTTTCCGCAACTGATTTATTTGAATTTGCCATGTTGGTTTTTAACATTTTTATTCAGTTTGAAGTTGTTATCTCAGAATGAACAGCTCTCAGTTTCAAAAATTTCTTGAATTAACTTTCACCCTTAACACGTAGCCACAAGTTCAACTTTCTGTTCATTCTTTCATAGCTTTTCAAAAAGCTGGCTGTATACTCTGTTGAGGTGGCATAACTTCTCGTAGAGAAAAGGAGAAGTTATTTTAAAAATAACTTTATAATAACTTAAGCATAAAGGAATTATTTTGTTTAAATTTAATACTTTTAGGAAGGTCTGTTAATAACTGTCAAGTTTCTCTGCTGCAGTTAGTAAGCAGGACAGCAAGATTTAGTATCTCTTACAGTAATGTAAGACTAATTATAAGCAGTGTTGCAGCCTCTATTGGCTAGTGTTAAAAGCCATTGCTACCATACTTGTTTCCACTCAAGGAATACAGAATTTCAACTGCAGTCTGTTAAATTAGCCAGTCTCTGCTTATTTTTCAGTCTAGAATTATTGTGGTAGCAGATAATCATCTACTGCTGTCATTTTTAGTTTCTGCATATTATTTGCTAATTATAGCTTTTACTTAGTACCTTTTCAGTCTGTGTAAATCATATTTTTCCTCACTGTCTTTTCACCGAGCAACTTGGAAGTGTGTATTTGAAACTATGTTTCAAGTCTGATGATGCTGGAGAAGAGACAAGAAAACCAAGAGAATCAAATGGTTAGCATTTAAATAATGTAGTGTATTTTATACTCACTAAAATCTTGTTTCTCACATAGTAATATTGACCATGTAGCTTTTAGAAAAGCACTCAAGAATGAAGTACCCAAAGCTTTTCCAAAATATTATAGGGTTTTTAAAAAAAACCAACTCTCAGTACAATTCACATTTTATGGTGTATGTCCAGCTCTCAAATTATGGCTACAACTTGCTCTTTGGATTCTACCAACCGTTAGTAAAAATAAAATCCTAGAAAAGTTTAATTTTTCCTAAATTTACATTTTGATTTCAAAAATTTCATTCGTGCATTATCTTCCAGGTTTGCTATTCTTTAGTTATACATCTCTGACTGTGAGGTGGTTCTTTCAAGGCTAGGGGGAAAAAACATGTTGCTGGATCTGCAATTTCATGCGTTAGTTCTTCATGTGGATGAGACATTTTTCCATCAAAAAGCATTTCATTAGTTTCTGAAAATATACTGCATTAATCCATACATCCATGTGGACATACTATTTATGTTCGGTAGAATTTATTCTGTGAAATCACTGAGTCAACAGAGGAGCAAAATAATGCTTTTCTGGTAAAAAAAGTCTGTCTCCTATCAATAAGATCAGGTCTTAGAAGAAGAAAATAATTTACTCCAGCAACCCTACAAAAATCGGTTAAAAAAATAGGAAGTGAGTAGGACCTTTAAACTGTGCTTACTCACCAACTGCTACTGGAAGTCCAGTTTTTGGTAGTCATTGTTATAAATTGATTTTGATGAACATAATTATGAATATTCATAGCAGATTTCACCTGTAAGTTAAGGTTTATACACTCTGCTGTACTGAAGTTGACTAGTTAGGGATACTATTCAGTCTGTTTGATGCAATTATCTCAGAAGAAATCTCCTTTAAAGGCACTCAAACATCAGTCCCATTCAGAGTTTTAGGCCTAATCCCCAATCCGCTACCTTAGTGTGAGATCCTGATCTGATAGCCTTCAAACCAAGAAGGGTGGCCTGTACTGTACGGTGAGAAGCATGTCTTAAACAGCGATAGATCACTTTGCTGTTTTGATGGAGCACTTTGATTTAAACCTTAATCTATAAGACTCTTGTATAGTGTGATACAATAAAATGCAGTTACACAATTACTTTGAGTCTCAATTTTTCTAGGGTCTTTACCAAAGTAAAAGAAATAGATAACCCAACCCAGAACCTTTAATATCTTTTTCTTGCATTTAGTATTCCTTTATTCCTCTCTTCTCCCACTCTTTCAGCAAGATACTAAGATAATCCAGCAGGGTAGTGAAATAGCAGCGTTGAAGTGTGTCATAAGAGCTATTGAAGGCAAATACTTCTTCTGTTGTTAGTTGTTAATCATTTACTGAATGAACCTTTTCTTCCCCCTGTAGTCAATCTGATTTAGACAAGTGTGTGTCAGGCTACTCAGCTGCTTTCATCAGGAGTGAGTTATGTTAAATTAAATATAGCTGCTTCCTTTTTTTTGTTTTGTTTTTTTTTTTAAAGCTACGGAGTTAAATGTTCTTAGCTTCTGGAGGATATCTTAATAAAATGCTTGGAAATATGAACAAATTTTGTCAAATCCAGGATGCTGATTAAGCATTTCACATGTTTTGCTAACTTAACTAGGAAACTTTTCATATCGAATAACATTATATTTCTTTCAAAATGCTCTGAAGTAGGAAACTTAGAACCAGGCTTGCCATTTAGTGATTGGTAGCTGGAGCAAATGCTACTGCTTCCTTAACAGCTGACACACAAAATTCAGAAAACCGCATAATTAGTTGTGTTCTCTTACCTACTGTAAGAATCTCTGTGTGCAGTTTTGTGGTGGGTTTTCTGTTCTTAAGTAGTACTGGAATATTGGCATGCTCACATCTTAAGAATAAAACTAAAATGAAAAAATCCCAGACTTCAGTTAAAAATAACAAACTATAAAGAGTTTTCTGGTGTTTAAAACAGCCATTTAGAGGTTCAAACTCCTATTGCATTTAGAAAAGCAATTTTCCTAAAAGAGTAATTAATTTAAAACAATTTATGTAGTAATTTCTCTTAAGCTACAGAATTTTTTGAGCAAAATAGCTTTTGCTTAGAATGCAACTGTTTACAAATACAGCACATGTGACAACATCTAGTCATGGTATGATGAAGCAAGCATTCATTAGTCCTCACATTCCTTCCGCAGCTGAAGTCTACATAGGAATTGGGAAACCTGCTGAGGCCACAGCGTGTACCCAGGAAGCAGCTAATCTCTTTCCGATGTCGCATTATGTTCTCTACATGAGAGGTCAGGTGGCTGAACTTCGTGGAAATATTGATGAAGCCAAACGCTGGTATGAAGAGGCCTTATCTATTAGTCCTACCCATGTGAAAAGCATGCAAAGGCTGGTGAGTCTTGAGTCCATGTTCATAAGTACTTTTGTCTCCATATATGATATTGTATTGTGAAATCTTAACTCGGTGTGGCTAACACAGAGCTTACGAGTTTTGGATCTATACTCATTAGCAAAATAGCTTTGGAAACAGTCTTTTCTGGCTTTTTATTCTTTCTTCTCTGTGTGTTGGGACATAAAAAGGATCTACAGGCGATAAGACTCTTTCAGTCCTAACAGAGACTGCAAAAGAAGAAATCATTTGCATCTGCCTAATATTCAGTGCCGTTGGGAAATAAAGGTGGCTCTTGGTAAGAGGAGAGTTGGATACTGTAGTCTAGAGGAAAGACCAGTCATTCTGCTACCTAATTCCAAACTAAAAGTTGAATTCTACATGTTGATTGATTACCTTCATGCGATGTGATTTCTTGGATTTTTGAAAGGTAGAGAATCAGTCTTGCCCTCAAAGGAATGTGTAGCTTTAAGTACAAAGGTGCCTTCCCGAGCATAAATGCATAAGTTTGTTTATACGCTTCATATATACAGACATGTATATATTCTGTGCTTCCTGTGGTAGGAAAATCGCTTTCTTTTTTTAATCGAGTTTTCTTCCAGATAGAGCAGAGAAGAACAGCTGCAATCAGCTTCTTACCCAATCTATTTGTTCAGAAGTAGAAGCTGGTTTCTATCTAGGTGCTCATGAATTATTCAGAGAAATTTCTCGTGCATCCCTGAGGGGAACATATGAGACAAAAGATCAGACAGGAAGGCAGCACAGGGAAAGTTTTTTGTTTCAACTTTTCAGCATTTCAAGATATTTGAGCCTACTGACAAATGCCAAAAGGTTCCTTTTTCTGAACAGGCAGGCAGTCAACCTAAAGCAGTGCAGCTCAGTGAAAATGAAACTTATGTTTTTCTTGGTATCTTTTTGCCCCTCCTCTGAATCCACCTTTGAATAAATAGTCTGTAAACACACAATGCTCTTCAGAATGACTGAGAAATTAGCTGCCTTAAGAGGCATGTGAGATGAAAAATACTGCGCTTCCAATCCAGCTTCCCTTTTTATGAGCTTTTCAGTTTGAGTGCAAGCTGGAGGATAACTATTCATTTCATTGGATTGGCCAGTCCTTTTTAAGCATTATTATAATTTAAAGTTTTGTTTTTAAAAGCTTTCTTTACTACTCTAGACCTTTTCTGTACTGAGATGTTGTTTTGAATAGATGCTGACAGATTATGACTCTCACGATTGGAGTGCTGCAATG